AAACCTTCTGTTGGGAGAAATAGTACCTGACATTTGCTTTGAAAGCTGTACAATGTTTTCATGCATGTTATGCGATTTGATCCTCTTACCTTCCCAGGAGGAAGGCAGGAAGTGGTTATTATTCCCGTTTTATAGATGGAAACACTGAGGTTTCAGAAAAGGGAAGGGACTCACCTAGGGACACAGACCCAGATCATAGACCCCTAGATCTCAGGCACCCGGCCTCAGATCTCCAGGGCTGTTCTACCATAAACCCTCCGCGTGCACCCCCCCCCATCCAAATTTGTTTTGCACAAGCAGCAAGCATCATTCCAGGCTCTCTCTGGGCCTCAGAGCTGATCTGAAGAACTTGAGAGGAGAAGCATATCAAGACCACCACCTCCATCCCATGGGTCACAGCTGTCACCACAAAATGGGAGATTGACATTGAACAGCTCTGATCTCCTTGACCAGACTACTGAAGCTTTGGTTCCCACCCCTGAGATTCTGTGATATAACTGGTCAGGGTTGGAGCCTGGACACTGGGACTTTCGAGAGCTCCCCTGATCATTCTAATGGGCAGCCAGGGTTTGGAACCATGACCCCAAGCCAATAGTCTCAAACAAGCAGCTTGTGGGCCAAGTCTACATCACAGAGGTATTCCGTTTAACTCTCACACGTGGATGTACATTTAAATTCGAGTTGTTAATATTTAAAAACATGGAACTTTCACATAAAAGTCTGTACTCTGGCTTCCCTTGAGCAACTGGGGCCTGCATTCCTGCATGATGACCCGAGGCTGGAGCTGCTTTACGCAGGGCAGAAGTCCCCCAGTTCCCTTATAATCCATAGCACTCCTTATGTCTCACACCAGCCCACTTTGTTTTCATGATCTAAGTATCCCTGTAGTATTGTCCTGACCCATTCATTCTCTTGGAGGCTGGGAAACTGAGGCCTGCTGACATAAGTGTGGGAGTTGCACCCCTTCTTGGCTGCTGGTTGAGCTAAGCAGACCTCTCTTTCTTTCCCAGCCGGAGAACATACTGTGTGTCAATCAGACAGGACATCAAATTAAGATCATTGACTTTGGACTGGCCAGAAGGTAAGAGGGTTGTATTTTGGCACTTTGACAAAACTCCTGGGGGGCTGCTTGTGGCTCTTTTGGATGTGGTTACCCACAGTTCAGCCTATTTTTGAGTTTTGGGACTGACACAGAAAGCTCTATCACTGAGAGGCTGGTAGCCTTTGATTGTGCAGATAGGCCTTGTTACTACCCGGGGGTGTGTGTGGGGGGGGGGGGTGGCTTCATGCTTCGGACTCTGCTTCTCCTTAAAAGGCTGTGGGATTAATTGTATTTCAAACCCCCTGTCTGAGCAGAGAGGGTGTGATGGTTAAAGGAGGACCACTGCGTGGGGGGTCCTCAGATCAATTCTGTTCATCCCCCGGAACTGAAGCCAGGATGTGCTGAGCTATGTGAGGTATCCAGAACCACCCCTGCCCCCTGGGAAGTGAGTAGTTTAAATAAGAAAGTGCATATATGCCAGTGTAGGGTGGTGTCAGACTATGTGGTTCTGGGCCTCTCAAGACTGGGTTAAATCTTGGTAAAATGATGATCAAATGAAATGCCTGCTGACATGGGGCAGTTTTGAAGGTTAAACGGAATAATACCTTGACAGTGCAGGCCCATCCTAGGAGGGTGGCTAGGTTCTCAAGTTTGACTGCATAAAGTAAACATATGTCTTTAAAAGTGTCCCTTAAAATGCCTAAAGCCTAGTGAAGGAGAGTTTATCCATAGATAGATTTACAATCCTGTCCAGTCGTATGTATGATGAACACTCTAGCCCCTGACACACACAGCCAGTGGTGTGGGTTCTTCGCAATGGCAGGAACAGACCCTTGGCATTGAGAAGGGCTGTCCCCCAAACCTTCAAGCATCCACGGTCTACAAATATGGGGTAGTTGTGTGCCCATCCTCCAGGCTTCCTCCAGAATTCTATTTCCACCAGGAATGACATTTCCCTGGGAATCACGTGTTTTCTAGGTAGGTCTCCACACTAGAGCTGAATTAAAAAAGTTGTTTCTGTCACTTTATAAGCCTAGCAGTGCCCTCTGCTGCATCCACAAGGGGACGAAAGCACAGCCTTGTCACAGTGGAGACAGAACCTTTTGCGTGAGCTCAGCCTCTGGGGTCCAGACCTGCCTCCCAGAAGTAGTAGTGAAAACCACAGTGGCAGTCTTCCTAGGTCCCTCTCCCATTGGGTGAAATGGTACCATTACTTATCTCTTTGTAGGGGTGAAAAATGCGTTTTCAGTGCCTACGTGATGGATGGGAGGCCAAGGGTGAGGTCATGAGAGTAAAGGCAGAGGGCAGTTCATATAATCCTACTGTACCTTCAGGATCCCCATTACACAGTGTACTGTTTTTCATGAACAATATACCAAAGGCCCCAACGCAAATGCTTCAAAATCACATTTAATCCATAATGTAAAAAATTGCTTAATATTTTCCTAAATAATGTGTTATAAAGTTGGGATACATCCTATACACTTGCATGTATTATCCACTAGAGCAATGTCTCTGAATGTATTTTTTATTATCATTGCCTACCTTCCAAAGAGCCTTTTTAGACATTTCTTTCCTAATCACCAGGCCCCCTCCTCATGAAATTTAATGCTGCAATTGTCCTTTGTATCTGTTTATGTACCATGGCTCTTTGGAAAGCCACAAAGCATTGTAATAGCTAAGACTTTTTTGCACTTCCAAGAACCAATGCTCACCTAAGTGGGGCAATACTGTCTTCGCTGAGCATGCACACCCTCCCAAATGTGTATGTAGTACCCTCCCAACTGCCAGATGTCCAGTTGCCAAATGAGTATTTACAGTGACAAACTGTAAATTCAGAGCAAGGATTTGCCAGCTTAGGCTCCTGGGTTCTGGGAAGGCTTCTCTGAGTAGTTGGAAGGGAGAGATGGACAGGGTGTGGTTATCTGCAGGCAGTAGTATGCTGGTACATGTTTATCAGCTCTGGGGGCGGGGTGGGGAATGGGTTTGACTCGTAGCCTTTGCTAATTTTAGCTGAGTTCAACCTACCAACACGATGTCACTGAATGCAGATTGGGAGGAGATGGGCACAACTGACTGTCATGTACCGGTGAGAACCGGCTCCAGCATACGGGGGTGGGAGTGGTGGGGGTGCGTGGAAGTTGGGGGTTGGTATAGGATGTACACCACGCATGCACAGGATCTCTTGGGGAAGGCAGGAGCTGGGGTGGGATCGGAGGAAGAAGATACAGTGAAGATGAGGGCGTTCATAGGGAGTCCTGAATGTTGGAACATTATCCTATAGGCCACTAAGTTACCTGGTGGGGAAGTGAAAAGGGCTGTGGGCCAGGTTACCAAGCACGTTAGTCAAAATCTATCCCCAAACTCTCAGCAGTCCATCCCAAACTGTCAGATAAATTTCTTAACTGGGTCAAAGGCATTGATGACAATAATTTTGCCCAGAGATGGAGGGCAAGTTCAAGAAAATAAACGTGGGGAACCACATTGAAGAGAAGGCCACCCGTGTGAAACTGCTGGGCACTGGGGAAGTGCAGGTGTCTGAAACATGTGATACTCAGGAAACCGCACTCAGCAGAGCTGGGCTGACGGAGGCCCAGGTTCCCGTGGGGAGGTGAAAGGAAAACATCAAAAACACCCTCAACAGTCCGGCAACCTGGCCGTTGGGCAAAAGGATCATTTGGCAAATTGGATTTTGCCAGACTGGCCTGCTTCCTGGGAAGCATGTCCTTCTAGGAAGAAGAATCTGTGGGGGGAATGTGCAGGTTGAGAGAGCATATTTTATATGCCAGAAGTAGTAAATGTTTGTAAAGAAGGAGGAAAAGCCAGTTTTCCCCTATAATACAAACTGTAGCAAGTCAAGTGGTATTTCTGGGTGGAGCTATTAGAAGATGCTGAGATTTTCAGTGGGGGGATGGCCTCAGTCATGGAGCCAGTGGGGGGGGCGGGGCACACACAGATCTTCAGAGGCCATGACATCCAGCAAGAGGGACCAGCGTTACACCAGGCTGGGCAGTGAGACCCATCAGTGGGTCTAAGTAGGGAACCTGTCAAGGGTCAAGGATGGGGCCGGGATGGGAAATATCTTAAGTTTGGTCTCAGAATGTTGGGTGCAGGGTTTGGCTTCCTGACTGCCAGTCTGGTGCTCAGATTGGAATCCAAGCCTATTTCATCAGATCCTTTGGCAGGGCAAGGAGCTGCCACCTCACATGTGACTCTATGGTCACAGAGGGCCTTATGCTAGGAATTTGGAGAGAGGGTCTTGGTGGATATTTTGACCTAGCTTTGGGGTTAGTTACTGCCACAGTACTATTGTGTAACAAACCACCCCAGGGGCTTCAGTCGTTAGGCATCGTCTTCGGCTCTCAGGTCATGATCCCAGGGGCCCCGCGTCAGGCTCTCTGCTCAGCGGGAAGCCTGCTTCTCCCTCTGCCACTCCCCCTGCTTGTGTTTCCTCTCTCACTGTCTCTTTCTGTCAAATAAATAAATAAAATCTTAAAAAAAAAAAAAAAAACCCACCCCAAATTGCAGAGGCTTAAAACAGTCATTTCTTCTCATCCACCCATTTGCGAGCCAGCTGGGGGAGTGGTACGCTGGACCCAACTCATAGCAGCTCATGATAAGGAACCTTGTAAACAGTTGTTAAAATATACCATTAATTAACAATTAACGAACTTATATTAAAAACAAAGATTACTATTTTCAAATGTTACCACTTCCTAATTATTTTACTACATTTCACTACTCCTGAGGTCATTTGTGCCTGTTGTATCTGTACGGTGGGAAGACCGTGGAACGGTGTGCTATGGCAAGTCCCTTCCCAGCTCTGCATTCAGTGATGTCAGGATGGTAGTTTGCAATCAGTCAGGGTGAAATCAGTATTTATACCACTGAAAATGGCAAATGCTGCAAATAAGGACTTTTTTTTTTTTAATCCGATGGCTGGTTGTTAAATATTTACCCATGTGCCACTGGTCCGGAATCACTGATTCCCAGTCACTGAGCTGACATGGGCTTGGATCCAGGATGCAGATCAGTGAGGACGGGTCTGCTCCAGGCGTCTCCCATTCTCTCCTCATGGTGATGGCAGAGGCGCTAGAGGGCAGGCTTTTACAGTCTAGCTTGGATGGGCCCGCTGTCACTCCCCCCACTGCTCGCGTGGCCGAGCCCAGTGTCATCGGGGTGGGGCAATGTATGTTGCCTCTAGCGGAGTGAGCTACGAAGTCATGTGGTACAGGATGTGGCTATGGGGCTAGATGAAGCAGTGAAAACAATCATGCAGCCTCTGGGAAAGTGGCTTCCAGGGGCTGAGAGCCTGGGTCTTCTCTCCTCCCTTTTTCCGTTTTCTCTCCTTTTTTGCGGGGGATGGAGGGAGGTTTCAGATCTTTTATTGTGAAACACGAAACATGCATTTAAAAAGTGAAAGTACACATTGAAAAAGTACATTTATATCACAAAGCACTGACCACATCATATTTGCAAATACATTTGCTGGAAGGTGTGTATTTACACAAACCAATTTTCATTTCTACACAAATATTAACTTACTATCTAGTGATAGATATTTTGTACATTTTCAAAAGAAAACAACAATTTTACAACAAAACCAAAATTAAGATCTTCATCAAGGCTTCTGCATCCATTTACTTAACAAAGGTTTTTTTTTCCTCATACAATGAATCAAATACTATATTGTCCTCTTCTTCTTATTCGCCCTGAGGTGCTAGAGGCTGTGGCATTCCCTGGGGACTTGTCTGAGCATAGTAGGCTGCTTGTTGTGCCTTTCAGCTCGGCTCCTTGGCCCTGAGTCAGCTGCCAGGGTAGGGGAGCCGCATGTTGCCAGAGGAGGGTTCCTGCTCTCTTCTAGGTCCCTTGCTTCCCGCTCAACAAGGCTACCATGATGATCCTTGTAGCTCCTTCACTGGATCAGTGTAGGCTGTGTTGGCCCAAGTCTGCATTTATCCGGCTCTCAGCAAATTTGGAAGCGAAAGCTCTTTGACAAGTCACTTCCCTGGCTTAAGGGAAGCAGGGCACATTGGCAGAATATTCATTTTATTCTCAATTGCCTTGTCTGTAAGATGGGGACAGTAATCTTACAGACTTCATGGGGCTGTGTAAGAATGAGAAGAGTTATATATATGTAAAACTTTTAGCCTGGCAAACAGGAAGTGCCCATTATATTTTATAAATTAATACTTTTTTTTTTTTAGAACAATCTTAGGTTCACAGTGAAATTGAGGGGAAGGCGCAGAGATTTCCCATATACCCCTTGCTCCCAGTCATGCCTCCCCGACCAGGGTGGTACAGGGTAGTACCTTTGTTACCATAGATGAACTTACACTGACATATTATCGCTCAAAGTCCATACTTTACATTACTGTTCACTCTTGGTGTTGGACATTCTATGGGTTTGGACAAATGTATAATGACATGTATCCATCGTTATGGTACCATATGGAGTATTTTTAAGCCTACAAATCCTCTGTTCTCCACCTATTTATCTCTCCCTTCCTCTCCCCACCCCAACCCCTGGCAACCACTGATCTTTTTATGTCTCCATAGTTTTGCCCTTTCTTGAATGATCTCTAGTTGGAATCATACAGTAGCCTATTCAGACTGGCTTCTTTCACTTACTACTGTGGACTTGTTTCCTCTATGTCTTTTCATGGCTTGATAATTCATTTCTTTTTAGCACTGAATAGTATTCCATTGTCTGGATGTACCACAGTTTATTTATCCACTCACCTACCAAAGGACATCTTGGTTGTTGCCCATTACATTTTAGCTAAAGACTTTCTAAAAGACTAAAAATTCTAAAAACCACTTTTCAGTCATCTCCTTTCCCACTCAGCCATCAACTCTCTTTCTAACCTTTATTAATCTTCCTGTCCAGAACCTTTTTTTTTTTTTTTTTAAGATTTTATTTACCGGGCGCCTGGGTGGCTCAGTTGGTTGAATGTCTGCCTTTGGCTCAGGTCATGATCCCAGCATCCTGGGATCGAGCCCTGTGTCAGGCTCCCTGCTCAACGGGGAGTCTGCTTCTCCCTCTGCCCCTCCCCCTGCTCATGCTCTCTCTCACTCAGCATGTGCTCTTTTATTGATTTATTTAAGAGAGAGAAAGAGAAAGAGAGAGAGGGAGCACGAGCAGGGGCAGAGGCAGAGGGAGAAGCAGGCTTCCCGCTGAGCAGGGAGCCCGACGTGGGGCTCAATCCCAAGCCCCTGGGATCATGACCTGAGCCAAAGGCAGACACTTAACTGACTGAGCCACCCAGGTGCCCCAGAACCTTTTTTCTAATTCTTATTCTTTTTGTAATTGTGTAAAATACACATAAAACTTAACATCTTAACCATTTTTAAATTTATTTGAGAGAGAGAGAGAAACAGCATGGGAGGGGATAGGGTCAAAGGGAGAAGCAGGCTCCCCGCTGAGCCGGGAGCCCGATGTGGGACTCCATCCCAGGACTCCGGGATCATGACCTGAGCCAAAGGCAGTCGCTTAACCAACTGACCCACCCAGGCGCCCTTAACCATTTTTAAATTTAATTCAGTAGTGTTAAATAAGCAATTTCTAGAACTCTTCTCATCTTGCGAAAACTGAAACTCTATACTGGTTAAACAATAACTGGTCATTTTCCTCCTGCCTCCAGCACCTGGAAACTACCATTCTACCCTCTGTCTCTGACTTTGACCACTCTAGGTACCTTATCAAAGTGGAACCATACAGTATTTGTCTTTTTGTGACTGACTTCTTTCACTTAGCATAATGTCCTGGAAGTTCACCCATATTGCAGCATGTGTCAGAATTGCCTTATATTGTAAGGCTGAATAATATTCCACTGTATGTATCTACCACATTTTACTTATGCAGTCATCTGCCGATAGACACTTACTTGGGTTACTTCCTCCATTTGGCTATTATGAATAATGCTGCTATGAATATGGGTATGTAAATATCTCAAGATTCTGCTTTCAATTTTTTTGGATATACAGCCAGAAGTAGGATTGCTGGATCATATGGTAGTTCTATTTTTAATGTTTTTGAGGAACTGCCATACCGTTCTCCATAGCAACAGCACCATATTACATTCCCACCAGCAAGGGTTCTAGTTTCTCTACATCCTAGCCAACTCTTGCTATTTTCTGGTCTTTTGTTTGTTTGGTTGTTTTATAGGAGTCATGATATGCAGTGGTATCTCATTGTGGTTTTGATTTGTATTTTCCTGATAATTAGTGATATTGAGCATATTTGCTTTCTCTAATTCTTACTGTCATCTCACCAACCAAATTGCTCACACCACAAGAGCAGACCTCCACAGACAGCTGCTATCCAATTTGTTTGTGTGTGTTCATGTGGCTACATGCTGAATAAGATATATTGATCATCTCCCCTTTTCACATTGTAATTGCTTGGAGGGAGAGGGCTGTGGTTTTCTGGTTCTTCCTAGTGACTTAGGAAAGTCTGAAGTTGGGGCCAAGGGTATAATGATTCCTCAGTAAACTGCATGTGGTGGGTTGGGAGGTCCAGACAACATGGCAGACAGGAAGGGTTGGGAATGTCTAGCTCCTACCTGGAATTAGTCCCAGCCTCCACATCTTCTCTCAGGGCTCACTCCCATGGCCCTTTGCATCCCTCTTCCCCAGGTACAAGCCTCGGGAGAAGCTGAAGGTGAACTTCGGCACTCCAGAGTTCCTGGCCCCAGAAGTTGTCAACTATGAATTTGTGTCCTTCCCTACGGACATGTGGAGTGTGGGAGTCATTATCTACATGCTGTGAGTGCCCAGGAGCCTGGCTCCCAGTGAGAATAGGGGCCATCTGTCTTAGTTTGGGTATCCTTAGAAGCAGCAAAACTTTGAGTGTGAGTCGTTTGAGAGGTGTTCCCAGGGAACAGCGACAGAGGAGTAGGGAAGTGAGACAGGGGAAGACACCGGTAAAGCATGTGCTATTCAGCCACTTACCACTGTGGGCAAGTGGAGTTGAATCCTGCAGGGAAGTCTGGGATCCATCATGGAACAGCCCTCCAACAGTTATTCTATCTGAGTGGGGAGGGAGTTGGGGCATTTATACACCAACTCTTATCAGTCATTGCTTGTGAGCCGATGCCGAGGGCACTGGTTCCCTGAAACTTCTGGGTGGATAAAGCAACTTCGCCTGGAGAGAAAGTTCTCCAGCCAGGAAATGCAGGTGCTGCAGTACAGCAGAGCAGTAAGGAGAGGAGATGGACAGGGCAGGACACTGGCTGCTGCATCATCTAACCTTGTCCCTCCTGCCCTGCGCCGTTTTCTCTGCACAGAGGAAGCAGAGTTAGGGTGCACTGAGAGGAGCTATGTACACTGACAAAGCATCCTCATCTCTCTGTGACTTCCCTTGGCTTTTTCCTCAGAGGCCCAGTCAAATCATGCTTTGCTCCCAGACTTATCATTATGGTACAGTTGCTACCATGTGTCCCCACACTTTGTATGTGTGTATGCATCAGGTGGGGGAAGTTTGAGGCCCAAGGCTAGCCAGTTAGACTGTCCTGTCTCTCTGGCCTCACTCTAGAAGGACCTATGGAAACCAGTTTTCTTTTGGGCCCTGAGGCCTGGGGTAGTCTCTAAACTAGCCAGGCTGTCTCAGAGACATGCTAAGGTATTTTTAAATTAATATGTAACCTGATAAGTGGACATATTGGACTGGATCTCAATTTATTCTTCACTTCAGGCTAAAAGGAAAATAGGTGAGCATGATTGGGGATTTATTCAAACACTCTTCATGCCTCTAAATTTTCAGTCCTGCCACTTCTTCCCCTAACAGAACACATTGGACTATCTCCTGTGGAGAAGTAATGGGGTGCTTTTCTTTTGAACCCTCTTGGTTCTGGTTAATGTTGCTTGAACCTTGTAAGACCTCTATCCTGTTGTCGCGTGTTGGCAGATAATGGCCTTCTACAGACTGACGGTCCTTTCTCTCCTCTGTAGACTCAGTGGTTTGTCCCCATTTCTAGGGGAAACAGATGCAGAGACCATGAATTTCATTGTGAACTGTAGCTGGGATTTTGATGCTGACACCTTTGAAGGGCTGTCGGAGGAGGCCAAGGACTTTGTTTC